CAGTTGGACAACACTCCATTCATGACGGGCAGCTTAGGTGACAGGGTACCTTGGTGGTCCACAGTTAAGCGCTCTGTCTCTACTAAGGCCCAGTAGCAAGTCAGACGTTGATTCTGAAAAGGAGAGTAGTCATCCACCAAGGAATGGCAGGGATTTGCTACAAAATTCTAAGGGTCAGGTTTTGCTTCATCAATAGGGGCTTGCCCAAGGCTTCAGAATGCTTCTCTGTTGGCCACTGACACACGGAGCGCCACTAGATCTCCTGGTCCCGTGGCTCAAGTGACAGAGCAGCCTGCAAAACAGCCCAGACATATCACACAGTCTTCTTTTGTTCCGAGCCCCACTCAAAATGAGCATTTCTTAGGTCACATTCATACAACATCTAACCAAAGAGGAAAAATAAGAGGGATTCTTTCAACCAGGCTTTGTTTTAAAAATCTCTGCACAAGCCTCTGATTGGCCAGCCTGAAACCTGTGCTTACCCTTCTAATTACAGTGGCCTGGGGGTCAAGTTCTACCATTGATCCAGCCTGATTCATGGCGCCACACCTGTGACCGAGCTTTGGCGTGTCTGTGGTTGGCAGAACCCCCACATAAGCAGTTCCCCAAGTGATGTTTCTCAGGAAATTCATCATCAAGCCCTTCTCAGAAGTGAGATCAGGCTCTGGTCAAGCAGTCCTTGTCAAGTAGTCCTTTTCTCCAGAGAAGCTTCTGAGCATATTTCAGAATGAGTATCCTCTCCCCTCTCCCGGCCAGAGCAGGAGAGGGCTTTCTTGGACCTGCATCATGAAAAACCTGGTAGGGTTTTTGGAGTGAAAGCCCACAGCAGTGTGGGAGTCTGCTATGACTTCAGCCCCCAGGAGCTTCTCGCTCTCATATTAGTCCACACTCAGCCCCCAGCAATTTTTCTAAATTGCCATTTCAGTGTTTCTACCAATTTATCGCTCCTGTAGGGCTTCTGCCCCACCTAAGCAGATCCTGGCTGTGACTGTCTGGCTATGGCTTTCTTTCCAGATAGTGATGGCTAGCTATTTGTCCTGAAAACTCAGTTCTTTGTTGAGTCCAAGAAAAGTCATTGCTTTTTCTGTTTGCCCAGCTTTTTCTTGTTGTTGGGACCAGAACAGTGGTTTCCAAGCTGGGTAATTGAAACCGAAAGGCATCACTTTCATTTGAAAATCTTCATTCTTATATTTCTCAATTGTCGGTATGACCTCCTATTGTATTCTATAAAAGCCTTCTCCTTGAATCTTGTACTGAATACACCAAATAGATATTTTCTAAAACTGCTTTTCCTTTTTTTATAGCTAATTATTTTCATAAGTGAGATATTTGCCTTTGAATCTTTAGAGTAAAAATATTCCCTTTCCCTTTTGCAGCAGAATTTTTCATCCTTTAGAGCTTGCATTGTTTCATTCTGAATATTTATTCTAGAAAGAGAAGAAATCTCTTTAAGCCAGGGGACTGTAAACAGATACTGTTCTTGGACTGCCCTTTGCTCTTTTTGATCTTGACCTTGAAGACTCTCATTTTAACCCTCTCAGATCTAAATTTCTTGATACCAGAGAGTGAAAGTACCAGCCCAACTCACCCTACCCTTCCGGCATTCATTGAGCGTGATCCCAGTCATCTCGGATCTCGTCTTTCAAGTCTTGAATTCTCGGAAACCTAGAGAGTCTAGTATAGCATGTAGTTTGTATAAGTGCAGAATGGAAAGCACTAAACCCACTCTAACCGTGCTACTCAAAGTGTGGTCCCTAGACCCGTGCTGCCCTCTGACTCGTTCCCATTTCATTTTTCGAGTGAGTCATGTTTATTGATTTTACAAAAGCCTTGCCCAGTGATGGATTGGGAATTTTTGAAAACTAATCCACCACAGAGAGTTTGAGAAGCACTTCCCTAGGCTGCCTCCCTCCTGAGTGTCTCCTTGACTTTTACTCCACTGCCAGCCATTTCCCAAGGTACCGTGAGCCGAAGGTACCGTGAGCCGCCAGTGTTCCCCTTAAACTTCAGGTCCTTTAGTTGGGAAGGATGTGGAAGAGAACTGGTTTGCGAGGGTGGGAGAGTGAGGAGCTGTAGGAGGGTGGGAGGGGCACAGGGAGAGAAGAGCCTTGACTGACGTGCTCAGAAAACCTCTCTCCTGCAGCAGGCAGGGGCTACCGGGTTCTCCTTTGGTGGTGTCTCCAAGTCTCCAAGCCTAAGGAAGAAAGTAGAGGTGAATCCTGGGAATCCTTTTCCTTCCTCCCCCACCATGGGTCATTCTGCCCTGACTCAGGGGACACGGCTATTGTTTAATCCAACCTCCTCCACACTGCGCACAGTGTAAGGACATCTTCACTCCCCCGGCCAGACTTTGAGGGCTGTGTTCCCAGCTCCTCACCTTCGGCACTTTGCCCAGCTCTTGGGAATGCTACGGAGGACAGAACAGGCACTGTCAGCAGTGCCCCGAGGTGCCCAGGAAGCCTTGGTAGTTTGGAGACAACTGCTGGGGTAGGTACCGCTGAGGAGCCACGGTCCCCCTACCCTGCATCTGTGTGGCTGGTTTTTGAGATCTAATGCCGGGCATCATATTTATCCTCCTTCTCTTTTACTGTTCAGAGTCAATACAGCACTCCTGTGGATAGAGTTGTTTGGAATCTATTTCTTGCCTATCTTTGCATCTCATGCCAATAGCATCTTTCCCCAATTCAGGAGTAGTTATGTCCAGAAGGACAGGAAGAGGTTAGAGCTCTGTGGCACTCCCTGGGAGACCTCTCTTCCCATTTCCATCCAGTCATTACCCCATCTTCTGGGTTCAGTTGTTTGACAGATTACAAATCTACTTAACCATCCTACTGTCTACCAAGATATTGTGGGATGAATGGATAATCTCTTCTCCTGAGCTGTCCTCTGCCCTCATCCCTTCTACCAGAGACAGGCCTGGCAGTGTTATCATCATCATCACCATCATCAATCTGATTGGAGTTTGCTCTAAAGTAGCACAGAAAGCAACTCTTAACACCGAGTGTAGTGTTTCTTGGGATTCAACCAGACTCAGGTGATAGGGGAAAGCCAGTAATAGAATGTATGCTGGGTTCTGTGAGTAGAGCTTGCTCAGAGATGATACAGAGGAAAGGAAGGCTGCTGGACAGACTAACCTGGGCCTGAAATTTCGGGTGTACATTAACCTGTGCTCATGGGTACAACAGCGGTTCTCACCTGGGGCCAAGTTTTCTGCTAGGGGACATCTGACAGCTTCTGGAGACATGTTTTGCTTGTCACAGCTGAGAAAAATGAGGAGTTGCTACTTACTATCTGGGGCATAGGGGCCAGGGATGCAGTTAAACATCCTTCAGTGAACAGAGCAGCCACCCTCCCCAGCAAAGAATGATTCAGCCCCAAATGTCAACAGTGCCTAGGATGAGACACCCTGGCTTAGAATTGATCCCACTCTAAAACCTGCACCACTGAGCATGGAGGAACAAAAAAATGCATCTGCTCAAATTCCAGGCCACTTCCCTAAAGATTCTAGTTTCATGGTCAAGGTAGAGCCCAGACAGAGAATCTCCATGAAGCTCCCTCAGGTTACTCTTGAATGTGGACAGGATTGAGCAGCACTCCCTGGAGAATCTGGTGTGATGGAGGCCAGGGAAGAGCCTGACCGCCCTCACTGTCTTGTGATCAGAGGGTTATCGAAGGGTTGTTGGCTCCTTGAAGAGGCAGCGGTAATGGAGAAACCCAGAAAAGATGGAGAGGAGTTCCCCAAGCCCTGGAGAGGGTAAGACGGAGGTTCAAGGCAGAGGCTTTTGTGAAAATTAGGAAAAGAGTACACTCTCTAGATAAAAAAAAAAAAAGTCGATACCCTTCTGGATGGATGTTTCCCAGGGCTCTTACCCTAGCTAACAGAGCAGCCTGTGGAGGCAAGGAGAAAGGTGCCCTTTCAAAATGGACATAGCCTCAGCCAAGGCACAGGGCTCTTGTTACCCCAGAGCCTGCTGGACCTTGGCTCCCACTTGCCCCTTCCTCCAGGGCCTTAGTTCAGCCACCAAACTACACAACTGAACGCAGCAGCCCTAGTTGGAACCTGCCTTATCTAATATCTCCTTCGGGCAGGAAAGGGGTGAGGCACAAAAGGGACGAGGTCCTGCCTTATGGGTTTACAAAAAAAAAAAAAATTGAGAAAGCGAAGAAAAAGAAACCAGATCCGTCCTGCAGGCAGCCTAGAAACCCTATCCTGAAGCCAGGCCACAGGGTGGAGGCTCCACCCTGATCCTGGTTGTCCTAGGGGTGGTTGCGAACAATCCAGGAAATGGGGAAATCTGGTTGCAAAACTACAACAGCTGGATTCACGAGGCTCTGGGTGAGACAGGGAGCTTTCTGTGCCTTGTACTCGCCCATCAGCCGACCCTGGAAAGAGTACCTCAAGCCCCATCCCAAACCGCAGTGCAGCCAGCACGCACCAGGGCCAGCCCTCGAGTCATTCCTTTACAAAAGAGAAACCAAAAAGCCGCAGCCTGAACGTTGGCGCCTCCAGAACCACACACCTAAATTCAAATCGCCGCTCTGCCCGTAACCGTGGTGAACCTGGGCAAGTTTCTGAGCGTCGTTTCTTCTTGGATAAGATGGGCATAACAACACCGAACTAGGGGCGCGGTCGTGAGTGTCAAAGCCGTGAACTTGGCCGTAATAGCCTGCTGCGGTGGGCCACTCTGGACGCCCTCGGTTGTCCCTTCTCTTTCTGTGCGACTCACGTAGCGTTCTGCACAGATGGCATGGTGCTAGGGGCCCGGGATCTGGGAGGTGGTTGGGCCACCAGTGTGTATATTCGGGGTGAAAGGGCGCGCAATTGGGGACCAGAAAGTTACTTTAGGATAATCCAGTTTGCCAGGGCACGCCCCTGGCGCGCTCAGGCCCCGAGGGGTCAGCCCCGCTTCCAGAAGAGACGCTGGCACAAAAGGAGGGGGGTGGGTCGGGGCCCCAGCCGCGCCAGCGCTCCGGGGAGGCGGAGGAAGGAGGGCCGGCCCCAGGCGGGAGGGAGAGAGACAGACACGAGGAGGAGGAGTTTTCCAGCTCGGCCTCCGCCGGTCCGCGGCGCAGCCCTGGGTCTGGTCGGTCTCCTCCCACCCACGAGAAGCGCGCCGCGCAGCCGAGCCGAGCCGTGCGCAGCGCCGGCGCGCCATGGGGAGCCCCGCACTCCGGCCCGCGCTGCTGCTGCTGCCGCCGCTGCTGCTGCTGCTGCTGCGAGTACCCCCGAGCCGCGGCTTCCCAGGTAGGGCCGGGGGCAGGGCGGCCTCCCCTGCCGGGCGCCGGGGACCCTCGGCTCGGGCCGGAGGGCGGTGCGGGGGGCGCCCTTTGTCTGCGCGGAGCTGGTCTTTCGCCGCCCCGGGGACGGGGTGGGGGGGACGCGGAACGGGGCTCGCGTCCGGGCACTGGGAGGGGAGAGCGACTGTCAGTCCATGGCCGGCGCCGTGAGCCAGAGGACCCTCTGCGCCTGGGGTTCCAGGGGGTCAGTCAAACCCACGTTGGCGCTGGAGGCGACGAAGAGAAGTTTGGCCGCGGGCTACTTTCTCACCCCCCGGAGTTTTGCCTCTCACACGGTTGCTGGCTCACGGCCGGGGCCCAGGGGGCTGGCAGCTGGTCCTGGAAGGAGCCCCTACTTCCTCCGACTGAGGTCCCAGGCCACCCCCAGAAGCTGCAGGGCACAAGCCACGGTACAGGACGCTTGTGGACGGCACGGGCGGGCCTCTCCCGCATTCCCCAACCCCCCCTGCTGGGGATTCCGAGAAAGTCTGCACCTCTGGGAGAGAGGTGCCTGCGGAGAGTGGTGACATGTGGCAAGCGCTGGGTTTGCCCCAGCGCAAGAGGACTACACTTGCGGGCTCTGCTAGACAGGGGGTGTGGCTTCTTGTTGCTGGAGGGAGTGGCCTATAGCATCCAAGGGGACCTTGGTGTTTATTAGGGCTCTCCTGGTGTTGACAGAACCTTCTTTGGAGATGCCTTTTAAAAAGCTCCAGCTAACTCCCTCATCCCTTAAGTTAGCAAAGAACTTCAGAGGCTCAAGGCAACATGGCTGCACCCCTGTCTCCCCAGAAAGAAGAAATCCATGGCACATTTTAATTCAGTGTTAATGGGAAAGTGGGTGGCATGGACTATAGGGCGGGCACATATCTGGCTCTACTTTCGACACTCTGGGCAATTTAAATCCGGGATCTGAGAAACGAACCTACCGAGTTTTGGGTGAAGGGTGGCGAGAGAGGGTGTGTGTCCCAGATAGCCTGCTTGGGAGATGTAGGGGTGGCTGCTGGAAATTCTCTGCACGTCGCACAGATGAATGAATGAATCAAACAAACAGGTAAACTGATAAACGGGAACATTTATGTTTTGAGCTTGACTCTTGTAAATTTTAAGCTGTTTGGTAGGAACTGATTCAGGGCAAAGTGGAAAGGAGACTTATTCTCTGTGCCAGGCAAATGCCATTCCCCTGTTCTCCAGGCGTGTTCATGCCCCACCCCAGCAGGAGTCAGGTTAAGATGAACCCGGAAGGAAGGGGAAGTCAGTTCTGGACCAGGAGCAGAGGGAGAAGTTAAGAAGCTAGAGGCAGCCTTTCATTCTGAACTGGGAGGCAAGGCGTCTCTAAGCTGCCTGTACATCTGGTGTAGCCTTTCTCAGCCAAGGGGCCTCTTCCCTTTTTTCATCTGACCTCCCTCCCCTCCCTCACCCTGCCCTCTGCTCTCCTTCCCTCAGCTTCTACGCTTATACAGCGGAGCTTGCTGCCAGGGCCCAGGCACCCACAGAATCATGGGTTTCCACTTTGGGCGCTCCCTAGTCTGCGTCTTTTGGGAACTGGCCCTGGCTGGCTTGGCTTCCTCCACCAGCCAGCAGGCTGCCCCCAACTTGGCACATCCCAATGGGGTCTTTCAGGAAATGTGCTCTCCTGGGGCTGTTGATTCCAAAGAAAGGGATTTCAGTCCAAGCCAGAGGTTTTGGAAGGCTGGGGAGGGGAGACTCTCTAGGCCTGTGGGTCCCGAGGCAGATCATGTCAGCTGAGTTCACCCGATGTGCTTGGTGACAGATTTTGAAGATCATTTGAGACTCCATCTCTTAGCGAGGGGACATCATGTCCCTAGTAAGAGAGCAGGTGTAAGAGGCCTGGAATCGGGAACCTCTGAAAGAGGGAGATGGATATCAAGGGCCCCATCAGCCCCCCAGTTGTATAACCATCTGAGATTTAATAGAGAATCTGCCCGAGGCAGAGTAAATCATTCCCATTCTCACTCCTGGAAGGTCTCTGGAGTCCTTCCATCTTTGAATTTGATGCAGCTTTTCTGGCTTTCTGATTTATTCCTTGCAGCCTAGCAAAGACTCAGTGTCTATAAAACCCCACATGAAATGTATGGAAAGTTCATAGCAAAGTTGTCTGTGTTGGATTGTGTTTGCATGCCTACAAGATAGGATTTCTTACTCTGTTTCTGTTCTTTCTGAGATGTAATTGACACATATTAGTTTCAGGTGTACAACGTAATGATTCGATATTTGTTTGCATCACACAGTGATGACTGCAGTAAGTCTAGTTACAATCCCTGTATATAGTTACAAAAATCTTTTTTTCTTGTGATGAGGACTTTTAAGATCTACTCTTAAACAGTATTATTAACGATAGTCACCATGCTGTACATTACATCCCGTGACTTATTTATTTTAAAGCTGGAACTTTATACATTTTGACCTCCTTCACCCGTTTTGACCACTCCCCACTGCCTCTCCCCTCTGGCAACCACCAGTCTACTCTCTGTATGTATGAGCTTAGCTTTTATTTGTTTCATTTTTTACATTCCACATATGAGTGAGATCACATGGTATTTGTCTTTCTGTGACTTATTTCACTTAGCATAATGCCTTCAAGGTCCATCCATGTTGTCACACATGGCAACATTCCATTCTTTTTTATGGCTGGATAATGTTCCATTGTATGTATATACCACATCTTCATCCATTCATCTATTAATGGACGTTTAGATTGTTTCCATATCTGGGCTATTGTGAATAATGCTGCAGTAAACGTGGGGATGCAGATACCTCTATGAGATCCTGTTTCCGTTTCTTTTGGATAAACACCCAGAAGAGGGATTGCTGGATCATATGGTTGTTATATTTTTAATTTTTTGAGGCACCTCCGTACTGTTTTGCACAGTGGCTGCACCGATTTGCATTCCCACCAACAGTGCACGAGGGTTCCCTTTTCTCCATATCACCGACAACACTTGTTTCTTGTCTTTTGGATAATCACCATTCTGACAGGTGGAGGCGATACCTCATTTGGTTTTGCTTTGCATTTCCACTTTATTCTGTTCTTAAATGAACTCTTGAAACCTCATTTACATCTGAGATTTTGGAGGTTCACTCCACCTCCTTCCGCAAGCAAGGCTGAAGACGGAGAGTGAGCTCTGTAAATCTGACGCCTGGAGAAACTTGGTGGAGCTGTGTGCTCTCGCCAGTCAGGAAAACCGAGCGAGGTTTGCTAAAAGCCTAAGCAGACACCAGCCAAAGCAGCCTTTTAAAATGCCACATGTGGAGATAAGTATTAGGAACGGAACACCTGGCTCAGGATATACAATTAAAGTCACATCAGGAGCAGGTGAGGCTAGACATTTCTATTTGGGTTTAAAACACGTAATCAGCTGACAAAATTCCTCTGCATTTGAAAGGAGACTGCCGGGGAGAGCAGGACATTTTCACGTGGCGTTTTCTTTACTGATAACACCTTCCGTACAGTATACTGCTGTTACTGCTTCTCATTTCCCAGATTTGTGAGCTGAAAGAGACACCAGAAACCATCTCTAAAGCACTGTCTTCAAACTTTCCCACCTCATCCATCCTCACATCGTGATTGAAATCTTGCCCTTCTCTTTTCGATGATTTCTATAACATTCTCACTTTTAGTCTCTCTTATAATGACTCGTTCTACTTTCTCTGGCGAGATACTGGTCTTTTAAGTACAATTCTACTTTAGTACTACGGCTTTGTGTGTGTGTGTGTGTGTTTTAAATGGAGGTACTGGGGAATTGAACCCAGGACCTCATGCATGCTAAGCACACGCTCTACCACTGAGCCATACCCTCCCCCGCTTTAGTACTGTTATGATTGCATTACTCTCCTACTCAGAAACGTAGAACAACCGCTCCCTGCCCTCTCTCAAGTGAACTAGAAAGTTTGCTGTTTTCAGGGGACTGTACAATTTGCTTGCGGCCTGATTTTCCAGTCCTTTCCTGGCTTCCTAAAATCTGGCCAAAGTAGACCCCCTGTTTCTATAGACCTGGAGTCACATTTGGCCTCTTCTGGGTGATTACTGCTTCTTGTACCTGGAATGCTTGCCCCCAGCCACCTGTCTGTCCAAATTCTGCTCACCGTCCAGCAACACCCCCACTTTGATGAAACTGCTCCTTTATCCTTTGAATGGGAAGCTTGTGCCTTCCTTTAAACACCCACAGTGTTTCATCTCTCTCATGCTATTTATCAGGCACGCCATACATTACAATAAGTAATGCTTCCTTTGCCCTTCTCTCAGATTCTGAGCTGGTGAAGGCAGGGCATGGCTCTGTCTCAGCCCCCTTTGTCTTTCCCATGATGCCTCGCCAAGGCCCTGGAGCCAAGTAGATATTTGTGCTTATTGAGTTAACAGTTCCCTGTAATTCAGCTGATGGACCACTGGCCGAAGGGAGCTGAGAGAAACGTGTGTGCAGGTCAACAGGGCTTGTGCCACCGTGAATCTGCATACATGGGGTGATGCCTTGCTGGCTGTCGAGTTTGATTTTAAATCCACAAACGCCCTCCCTTTAAGGAATAACCTTCTCTGTTGAGGGCTGTAAGACGAGAGACGGACTGCAGCCATGAGCTGGAGTTTGCATTTACTATTTTTGTTGGCTGCTTTGCTGCAGCCCCTTCCAAAGCGGTTGAATGGTTTCCTTAATAAATGCAAACGTGTGTGCTACATCAATTCCCCTTTCAGAGAATGCAGCTCAGATGGGTCATTGAAAGTGAAGATTGAGTTGCAACAGAACAAGATTGACTCTTGCCTGGTTGTAACTTAGTATGAAATGGTAGCTGCCAAATGATGATCAACACACAGGTGAAATTCGTTTCCAAAATTGCATTGTGACTAATCACCTCACCTGAGTTCCAGTTCGTAAGGAATTTCTCAAGCCAGCCCCTCAGTTCTTGATTGGGTCATTTCTTGACTGTAGGCTTTTATAGGCCGTTGTTTTATGGGTA